TATAAGAAGGAGTAAGGGAAGCAACATATTGCTGATGTTGTCAGGCAACTTCAGCCATTTATTGTTAAATGACCAAAATTAAAGACATTTACAAGCTTTTCTGCAAAGATCAGGTAACAGGTAATGAACAAAAAAGGAAATAAATGTGAGGCAGAGAACAAAGAGAAGGGCTGCGGGTGGCACCAAATTAATAAACTAAAGAAACTACCTTGCTAGACCCGACAGATCCCTACTAGCTTACTACCTACTACTTACTACCTGGTGGACTAATCTTACCTGTTGAAAATAAAACACATTTTAGCAGCCACCTATAAAACCTAGTGTTCAAATTGACAGTTAAAACTATTTAGGTGTGCTGAAATAAGGGATGTATGAAAAGAAATAAACTAATCGAAACCTATTGCCCAGCTCTAATGCATCAAACGAGTTACACTTACCAAACAACTAAACTTAACTTGAGAGCTAACCATCACACACACACACATTACCATGAACACAGAGAGGCACCGAGGCTAACGTTTCTACAATGCAACTTTTAGCAGTTTGAGAGATGAGCTGGAAAAACGGGATGCAAACCAGAGGGGGAAATCCGGGGAATACCGATGACGGATGACCTAAACCAGTATGAAAGAAAAACTGCCCTGCAGTATCATAACATGAACTGTCACTCGCTGACCGTAACACTGTCGAAACGCTTTTTAAATCTAAACATCCAACCAAACCTCCTGTCACTCCTGTGACTTTTCAATGCACTTCAAGAACATCACACTACTTCCTGCCATTGAAAACACTTTATGGATCAAGAAACAACCAATTCTGTCATTTTTGCATCACAGGCAGCCTCACCTCCATGCATGGCGAGCCAAAATAGTCACTTTTCTCTTTGCCAGTTCATAACCATGCCTTATGATAAAAAAAATATGTCCATCTGAAGCAGCAAAGTAAAACTAATCCCAGGTGACGGAGCTCACTGAAGCTTCTAAAGCACACTGGACTTACAGGAAGAAGTTAGTGCCTGAGCTGTGAGATCAGTTTACATTTCCTTTTGCCATACCTGTGTGTGTTTTCTGAAAATGGCTTTCATATACACGTGTTTGTACAATAATGTGTAACACGCATCTTCTCTGAGTCTGCGTGTCTTACAGCATGAATGCAGCGTGTGTGTGTGTGTGTGTGTGTGTGTGTGTGTGTGTGTGTTTACGGCTTTATTTGTCTCTCCGGGTGTGATCCTGAAGTGCGGGGGTGCTGCTTTCTGATATTTATAAATGTCAGCTCTGAGACTGTATTTATCCTGCAGAGAAGCAGACAGCTGGGAAAGTGTTCTTCACAACATCCTGTCAACCTGACGCAGTGTTAAAACTGGAGGCTGCTGCATATCAGGATTTCCTCTGAATTCACTCAGAGGTGCTGACAAGAGCCATTTTAAATCAATCAAATACATTTTTGCGGCATGTTGCGTTTATATAGCTATCAATATCTCATTGTGATGTCTTAAACAAATGGGACCCTGAAGATGACTGGCGTCTATTTCGAGCCAGATTGACTGTAAGGTTTTGACAGTAAACAGCATCACATGTGTTCATGTCTTCATGACTTTGACCTATATGGTCGCTTGTCACCCAAGACTTGCAGAGGGACGTATTATATAGTATGTATTGATCGTCCACTGTCTTGTGGTTGTTTACCGTAAAACTTCAGTTAATAGCAGAGTCCCAATTAGCCGCCCACCCAGTTTACTGGCCTGGTGTGGGAAAACGCAGCTCTCCATTAAACGCCTGGTTTGTTTTTTATAGAAGTTCTTTGCTTCTAAGCTGCTTAGATCATTAATACAAATATCAATGTTTAAACTTATGATCAATGTGTCAGTATGAACATGCTACACATCGTGTAGCATGTTCATCGGTTAGATTCTCCAATAGTTCAGTTCATTTAACAGAAACAACGAGCCCCAAAGTCTAATTCTGGGAGGAGTATTGAAAAAAAAAAAAACAAACAGATAAGTGCCGACTCCCGTTACCTTTGAAGCGCTCGTTTTAGTCTGAATGTGTCCATTCCTTGATTATTTATATTCCTTCAGTCTGTAGAGGTCCACCGATCAAAAGAATCAGAACAGCTTTTCATAAAAACGAATCCAAGTTGTGAATCCTGTCATGTGAAGTATCGCTCTCTGTCTGCTAACTTCTGCCACACTCTTCTCATCCTGCACCGTGTTGTTGTCGTGATGTTACGTCAAAATAAAAGCGCGTAAGCTGTCTGTCGGAGCTAGATCAAATGAATGACGTGTATTTGATATCATTTGATCAATTTTATACAAGCAATATTCTGTTTGAAATAAATAAACGGTTTCAAAGTAGCCTGTTTCAGTTTTGTGCGAAGGAATTACAACTGCCGTGCTGTGTAGCCTTGTTTTATAGGAAAGAGTTGGGATCCACAGCTGAAACAAGAGCAGTGAAGTGAACTCATGCTCTCGCTCTCTGTCACACACATACACACCCACATCACACAAACACACATGTAAATGCTATTTTCAGACCAACTTGGTCAACAGTTCATAACTATATTTGTCATCAAGCACCAGCCGCCTAGATTCAGTAAAATACACTCTCCACTCAAAACTCTCTCTTTCTCTGCCCTGGAGGTCTACTTGAAACAGTAAAGGATTCACTAATTCCAATTAATTTACTCTCCCTGCCTTTAATTAAAATACTCTTATGCAAATCGAGACACACTTTATAACTCTGATTAATCTGAAGTAAAAAAAAAAAAGCTTTTCCAATCATTATGTAAATGTATTAAAATATGTACTCTTGAACTTGGAAGGGAATCAGAAACGAGGAGCTTCATACCTTATTTAGAGAGAATCTCAAAACAACTGATCCCAACAGAAAATGCGATTTCATCAAATTACCCCTTAAGTGGCTTTAGCGAGAAGAAGAAAAGGCCTCGCAGCACTGTGTAAAATAAAGTATACTCAACTGTGGCATCATCCCAGATAGGCGAGAGCAACTTAAGCTTGTATTGTCTTAGACAATCAGATCAGTGCTGCAAAGACACCGACATACACACCCTATCGCTATTCAAGAAATAGACTTACATCCTGTCTGTAATTGTCTGAGGCTCGTTGAGTTCTTTTTTACTGCTTGACATCAGAGAGCACACTTGAGGTAAAAGACCAAAAAGATGTTGTGTTTAGGGGCTCCAGGGGCCTGCGAGGTGAACTTTATATGGTTTCTATAAGTTTCTAAGGAAAAGTAAAAACAACAACTGAAAAATAACCTGACAAAAAGGATCAAGGTGAAGAGGCTCTTTCAATCTGGAAATCATTACTGGCAGTCACATAATAACTGTGCGTGTGGAACTTAAGTTTGCGACTCGGACTCGAGCCGAACTTAAGTCAGACGCAGTGACTTGAGACTCGACTCAGACTCAAGATTTAGAACTCGTAAGCAGTAACAACACCAGCAAGCACATCTGCTGCTGCTGCTGCTGCGCCATTTGGAATAACCTTTGGGTATTATAACTTCCTTCCCAAACAAAGGAATCTCTAAATATTATACAAATGGTCAGATAACGTAATCATCAAACCGAGAGAAAGGCCACCATACTTATTAATGTTGGGTAGAGGCAGGTTAACGGTTTATTGTTTATGACGTATTGGTACAGGCTTATTAATTAATCTATATCCCAACACATTTTCACTCCCAACCAGTCACATATGGACGCTTGGTGAAGACCAGCGTTGTTGTTTAGGGTGCTGCGGTCAAGAAAGCAGCAATAAATAAGAGTCTGTTAACATCCATTTAAAGCTACAAAATAAAAATACTTGTTAACGTTGCAAAGCGTCATTCATTTTGTAACAGCACGTTGTGATACGTCCAAATGTTTTGGTTTAAAATAACTTGCGTACGTCAGTTAACTTACGTAAGTTAAATAACTTTAATTTATGTTCCATTATTTATTGTTCACGTTTTGTTTCACAAGGGAAATAAACACTGGTCTTCTGGATGAAAATCTGGTTTCTGACCCTCCATCCACCCCAACCACCTCCTTACTTGGTCTTTTCTGTTAATTATTATTTAGGCCTTCCGACCTTTACCGTTCAAAAGTGACGCTCCAGGGCTTCCCCCAGTGTGTTGAACTATGACGCTACGGGGCTCCCCTGTGCGCTACAAACGGACACCAACGGGTCTTGACCATGTGTCCATATGTGAAGAGTTATATGTATATCCAGACCAACACTCCGTAGCCGTATGTTCATGTTACAAGGCAAAATTCAGTTATTAACTTTAAAGGAAAGCTTTCATTGTGTGTTTTTTTCCCCCCGTTTAAGTGATCATATGCAAAACAACTAATCAATGATAAATCTTTGATATCGTATTCTATTCGATAAAGGAGTCACAATAACTTTGAATTCCTTAGATCCAGTTATGCAGTGTTCTAAGCAGACAGGTTGGTATGCAGCAGATGATACGACTCTTACCATACTATAAGAGACTTGAGGCTTGACTTGGACTTGCAAAAAACTACTCAAACAGTCAAGTAATTAATATTTCCTCTCAACAATGGTAGCTATGAATCAAGCAGTTGTATCTGTTAACCTATGAAACATGAAGCTGGAGGTGCCAGCAGCATGTCAGCTAACATCCATCAGGTTTTGGTTGAATGGCATGACAAGTTTGACATTCTGGGACTATATTTATACATCTGATGTGACGTCCCAACAAGTCAAAAAAAGACAAAAAGGTGGAAATTTGAAGGTAGAGGAGATATGAATGTCTGGTTAAATAACAAGAGAATAAGGAAAAGTTATTGTAATTCCTTAGTTATGATTATCATTATGTGCAACTTTGCTTTGGGCCCCCAAAAAAGCAAAGGAGCAGACTGAGGTATGATGCTGGAGCAAATGAAGGAGCTGATTTAATCTAAATTGTAAACACTTTGATCCCAGAGGTTATGCAGACAGAGTTTTGTGTCGTGTAGTTTCAGGCTGGTAAACTTACCCTCGGTTGGAAACGATGGCTTTTTTCAAGTGAATGTAGCTGGCTGGGAAAACTCCCTGAAGAGACAGAGACAGAAAAAAACAGTTAAGACAGACAATTAAAACCCAGATCAAACCTTTCTTTCTATGTCTATACTAAGAAAGACACACATAACGTCTTCTAACAGTGCTTAAGTACATCACGTACTAAATGGATGGATGGATTCCCTATTTCCACAACTAAACTTTTTTACTTTACAAGCTTTTTTGCCACATGCCAGGGTGCTAAACGACACCAAAATCATTAATATTCACCCTATGGGGACTGTCTGTACAAATTTTACGTCTGGATGAAAGTGGCGGACTAACTGAACGAACAACCTACTGATGTTGCCGCTAGAGTGGCTAAACAGTAAAGCTTATTTTTACGAATATTGAATTTAATGTAGAGTACCCTCCACCGCTCCCCAGCCTGTAACACAGACAGACAACAACAAACTAAATACATCTGCAGCACTGCCACTAAACATGCACCGTGTCTCCGAGGTGCTCTATTCAGTCATTCATGAAAGGTTCCGTGAGGGTTACAACGGAAGCCGCTAGCATGCTAAGGAGGCCGCTTCAATTGTTTTAATTTATTTTTTATTTTTTGGTCTCTTCTGTTGTTGCTGTATGTTGTTTGACAATGTTCTTTGGCGATGGAGTAGTGGATAAGACACATTCCACTGTGTCCCTGAGCAAGACACTTAACCCCTCGTTGCTCCAGATGCGTGCGACCGCTGACATATATGACAATTGTGAGTCGCTTTGCATAAAAGCGTCAGCTAAATGAGTAATGACTATGAAACCGAGGATTTAAAGTGACATAAACTATGCATGTTATGACTTTTTATATTTTACAAAAAAAACATTCATTGGATTTGTAAATAGCAGGTAAAAAGTCTTTCATGAAGTAAGTATGGCATGGTGCCAATTAGTTATAGTGTTTCAAGAGATTAAGTATGTTGTGGACTAAAGGTATTGACGATGACTTAACAAAAAAAAAAATGTAATTTTTATATACATATATACCTTGTACTGTACTCTTGTAGTTTAGGCTGGATATGTTTCTTGACCTCTTTAACATTTGTTCCTCTTATGTGAATTATTTCTCAATTCATCATGAAGACCTTTTGTTTACATGTTTGTATGAACATTATAGATATTGTAGTTTATGTTTCACCGAGACACTGAAGCTCAGCAACTTGTTCGGCTATGTTACTTTAAAATTAGTTTATTTTCCCTTTAATGTTGCAAAACAACAGATGTAAGGCACCGTTTTCACCCCATGTCACTGAAAAACCAATCAGTGCCTCTGCAGCATGTGTGGCCTCCAGTGTGAGGAACCCTGTGTAGTTTTTACAATGTTAGTGTAAAAGAAAGCATCACTTTTTGCACTGCTGGGTGTCTTTATTTCAAATGACACGATTTGCTCTTGGTCTTCCTAAATTATCTGTATTTGTGTACGCTACACGCAGCATTTTTCCTTAAATGTGAAAGTAATTACATCATTTGTGTTATAAAACCTTTAAAGTCTCAAGTGAGTGGGAAAATATCTTATGAAAACTGTGAGTTTAGTAAAATAAAAAGCTGAATGAACAAAATGTAGCTGGTGCTGCAGCAGTCTACTGAGGGAAAACTTGACACTGGAGTGACTGTATTCATATTCTTCAACATGTTTCAGGGAGGAGAAGAAAAGCTGAGGCAGAGAGGAGAGAATCTATTTTAGGATTGTACGCTTGTGTGTGTTTGTTATGTATGAACTTGTTTACAGTACTGTACATGTTTTTGTTCGTTAGCATCCTATTTGTGTTTTCCCTCAGTTATCAGCCTGCATACCAGTGCTGTCTGCCGGTCTGTGAAGATGTATGTCCTATCTGTGCTGTAAAAGGTGCAGAAAGTCCCCTTTTACCATCATGCATAATAACCCTGCTGTCTTTTAGGCAACATTTCAGCGGCTTCTCTTGTCGACAGAGATGTAGTTGGCTGTCAAAAGACCTTTTAGGGTCAAACATCGCATAATAAAAACACAAGGGAGCACCTTTCTCTGTTATTCAAATGTATTTTTGGAACAGACAAAGAGGGCGTCCAAGAGAGGGAGTCGGAGAGAGAGACCTATAAAGACGGGGAGAAATGAGAGAACAATAGCGCTAAGCAGAAATAGAGTTAGAGTGGCTAGCCATGCATTTGACAGGAGTGGTTCAGAGGTGCCGACCCTGCCTCCAGAGAGCTCGCTCAATTACCTGTCTGCCCAGAGCCATAAACACACACCGTTTGGAAAATGTCCTCTTCATACTCATCCTGGCCCCATAACTCTGCTCCACTGTTCCATCTTTAAAACTCTGTTGTGGGATTCTGCCAACTGATGATAATTTTATTATACATGTAACTTTTTGTTGTGACTAGAAAACAAATGTGAAAATAAATGTATACATTTATTCAAGTAGCCTACTGTACCTTAAGTAGAGTTCTAAGGTACTTTCACTTTACACCCCATTTCACTAGATTTCAGAAGGAAATATTGTACTTTAAACAGCACAACATTTTGTTTTGCAGCTGCTTACTGATTGCAGATTACAAGCCCCTGAATGTCTTTGCAGATGAAATGATCAGTTTATAAACCAGACTGTACTTTGGCACAGCTCTGCTCTGAGCTAAATGCTGATGTTCTGTAGGTATAATGATCACACTAATTAGCACTAAACACAAAGTACAGCTAAGAATGACGGGGATGTCATTAGTTTGGCAAGTATTCAGTCATAAACAAAAGTAGTGGAAACGTTGTGCTAATGATAGCGCTAGGGGGAAAGTCAGGGGCTCACCACTGAGGTAAAAACTCCCAAATCTTTTAGCCCAATGTAGTCAAGGCAGCAAAATTTAGCTCATTAGCATCAAATCATTTTATCTTTAAAGCTGAAGCAGGCAGTTTATTTCATAAGTTTACTTTTTTATATTTGTTAAGATTCACTAAAACAATCAATAAATCAAATGTTTCAGTTGAATACTTGCATGTTGCTAGTTCTACAACGTAGCTTTCACACACTTTCACACTTGTTTACTTGTTTAATGTTATTAAGAAATGTGCTTTTTAGACAAGAGGGAAGCAGAAGTCCCTTAAACCTGCATTCAATCAAATGTCCAGCAGTGGGCGACTGCAAAAAGAAGTCCGGTTCCATTAGAAATAATAATAATAATCTTTATTTGTAGAGCACTTTTCAAAAACAAGTTACAAAGTGCTTTAACAAGTGTAAAGACAATAATACACAAGAGACAATAATACAAAAACAATACAAGATAAAAGCAGGAAAACATTGAAAAGACTAAAATACACGTTTAAGATAAATATAAAATTAGTAAAATAGAATAAAATAAAAGGGATAAAATAAAGTCAAATAAGATCAGGAAAAGCTCTCCTATAAAAGTATGTTTTAAGAAGGGACTTAAAAGAGTTCACTGACTCAGCCGACCTGATTTCCTCGGGCAGGCTGTTCCAGAGCCTCGGGGCCCTGACAGCAAACGCTCTGTCCCCTTTAGTTTTCAGTCGAGACTCTGGAACAGACAACAGACCTCTGCCCGAGGATCTCAAGGTACGTGCTGGTGCGTATGGGACTAAAAGGTAAGAAATATAACAAGGTGAGAGGCCATGAAGAGCTTTAAAAGTGATCAATAGAATTTTAAAGTCAATTCTAAAACATACTGGGAGCCAGTGTAATGAAGCTAAAATAGGAGAAATGTGGTCATATTTCTTTGTTCTGGTTAAAAGCCTGGCAGCTGAGTTCTGGACAGTCTGGAGTCGATCAATAGATTTTTGGGTTAAACAGGTGACATAGATAGAATTTTTGCTATATTTCTAAGTTGATAAAAACATGATTGAACAAGCTTTGTGGTGTGCTGCTCGAAATTTAAATTACTATCAAACCAAACACCAAGGTTCTTTGCCACAGGCTTAATGTGATTTACTAGGACACGATGACCAGGATTATAAATAATGGTAAAATTACCCTAAGGAGCAATAGAAAGCATCCTGACTGGAAACATCACAAACTAACATGGGATGTGCACGGCCCAGGACCGGAGGGCCCTGCAGCGGGTGATTAAAACTGCTCAGAAGATCATTGGTACCCGAGCATCAGTGATATCGGTGAGGTGAGGTGCCTGCAGAGCCCAAAGGATACTGAAGGACAGTAACCACCCAGCCACAGCCTGTTCACCCTGCTGCTTTCTGCGAAGAGATATAGAAGTTTCTGCTGACACACCACCAGACTGCAGAGCAGCTTTATCCCCCAAGCTATCAGACTCTTAAACTCTAATTCATCCTCAGCACTGCTCCAGTGAGGATAGTTTATTTCCGTTTACCATTTTTATAATTGATTCTTCATTAATGTATATTGTCTATGTAGCAGAAGGGAGTTACAAAATTCAATTTCACCCTATAACTTACCTAATTCTGATTTATTACCTCAGTAAACACTTTCCTAATGAGTTTATGGTCTCAGTCACTAGTTTAAGGTCTCCTCCAACACAGCATGTAAATTATGGCCCAATTTAGAGGAAAATAGACCAGCAGAGTAAAGCAGAGGATGTTTCAGGGCGGGATTATCTGTGATTGACAAGTTGTTACCATAGCGACCTGTCAACCAGGCTAGAGTGAGTCGTACCTTGTAAACTCGAGGCTTCAAAAAGGCAGTCCACAAACCAACGGGTGACGTCACGATGACTACGTCCACTTTTAATATACAGTCTGTGTTCTTAGACTACAAATTGAGAACATAGACAAGAATTTTATTACCTGTATCAAGGCTATCAAGGCATCGTTGGCTTCTGCCTACTTGTCAGAAGTCTGTTTTTACCATTTGGGACATGTCATACGAACTTGTCTGAGGATGTAAGAAAGGCAAGTTCCAAATCTGCTTTTAAATCTCTCCTTTAAAACTCACTTTTATCTTAAGGCTTTTTCTTGACTGGTGACATTCGTTGTAATGTGTTATCTTGTTGTAAATTTTAAGTTTTTGGATTTTATTTACTGTTACGCGCAATAA